AACCAAAGATGACTCATAGGTGTTAAGACTGGTGGGATGGGTGAAATCCCACCCCACAACCAGGGTAGTGGATTTTTGAGCTACTATGTAATATATATAAGGAGCTCTGGTGGCATAGTGCCTAAGGCATTTGACTGCTAACCAGAAGGCTGGCGGTTCAAACCCACCAGACATTCCTCAGAAGGAGGGTTGGGCAATCTTCCGTGGTGATACTGCTTCGGAAACCCAAGGAGGGGTCGCTGTGAGTCGGATCTGACTCAACAGCAGTGGGTAATGTAATTTATAAAAGCAGATTTTTAAATGAAAAAAAAAGGAGTAATTTTGAACATTAAGAATACGTTGGTTAAAATCATAAAACTTGAATTTACTCACAAAGGAAATTTTAAGGCTTCAAGAAGAGAATGAAAAATTGAAGTCAAGGCTGAAGACCATCGAAATACAGGTAACTGAGAAATCCTTGAACAGAATTATTGAAGGAGTTACCTATGGATTAAATACTGAATGTGTTTTGCTTAAACTTGATTATAGGCTACAAATGCATTGGATGAGAAGTCAAAGCTAGAAAGAGCACTGCAGGACTTACAGCTTGATCAAGGAAACCAAAAGGTGAACTAGTTTTGGCCATCATTTTCTTTACATTTTCTAAATAGAATTAAAAAAAGCAAAATTTTGGATACATACCTTTCCTCATGACAATGAAATAAAATCTTTTTGAAGACCAAATTTCAAAGATTAACAAGAATTTTATGGAACAATTGAAGAATTACATCAATACTGCTAATTCTTTTACACTTGTTAATAATACTGCTTTATCTACATATTTAGTAATTATACACCATTTCCTTTCTTAGTAATAAAAATTTGTTATGAATTATGAGAAACAGAAGATCCAGCTGCTTGTATTAGACTGTACTTGTCAAAGTATGCAAAACTCTGCTATCTCATTAATAATATAAAAAAGTTTAAAATCTTGTAAATCAAGAAAACAATCAGCAGTAATTATTTTTTCATAATATCTTATGAAATGATATTATTAAGTCGATTCCAACTCATAGCAACCCTCATTGGGTTTCCAAGGCAGGAAATCTTTATGGAAGTAGATTGCTCCATCTTCCTTCTGCAGAGCAGCTGGGTGGGTTTGAACCTCCAACCTTCTGGTTAGCAGTCACCACAGCACTGCACCACAGCTCCTTAGCACATAGCTATTAAACTTTTAATACAACTTGTATTAATTGTATTATTTTTTTCCATCTGTATCATTCAGAATTCTTCACCAGGAATCTTTGTTTTTTTTTTCCTTGACTTTGTAAATGAAATCTATATGCCATCCCAATTCTGGGACACACAGCCTTGTCAAATTCAGGATTTTCTTTGCTATTCCTCTTTGCCTAAAATTTTCAGCAGTTCATAAATCATATTTCTTATATTTGGAGTTCAATAACCATTCAGTGTCTACTGTGTGAAGACACTATGCATGTGGTGCTGAGGCTGAGCTGGGCGTGCTGACAATCCTGAAGGAGCTGGCATGTCCCCTGGCTGACACAACACACAACATAACTTGTTTTATCTCCTATGATGTTGAATCACTGTTCTAAAACTGTTACTGTTTAGAATGTCCACATGAAATTATGCTACTGTACTTACATTTCATAGGAGTTTATAAAGACCCAAGACTTGAGTGAGTTGGAAAACACAGTCGCTGCTTTAAAGAGTGAGTTTCAGAGGACACTCAGTAACACGACAGAAAACCAGAAGTCCCTGGAGGAGAATCTGGCGACAGCCAAGCACGACCTACTCCGAGTTCAGGAGCAGCTGAGCTTGGCTGAAAAGGTCAGAAGTTCACGTTTAAGGGATTTGTCTGTTCTTGCCCATTTAACTGATAAATGCAGTATGGAAGGACAAGTGTAATCACAGTAACCATTGAACTACTGCAGTTCTTATTGTCTTTTTTGAGGACTTAGCCAGTCTATGTTCTGAAGAGTTATTTGGCACTAACATATCTGTGATAACAAGAAATCTCCACTCCTTCCTGTGGTCGGTAAAATACTCCTCCACGGGGGGCTCGCTCCCCTCCCAGCACTCCCTGGGTTGCTTTCCTGTTACTCCTCCTACAGCATGGCAGAGGAGGGAGACTCTCCTTTCTTCAGAACCTCTCTCCCTTATCATCATTTACATGTAATATGCAGGAAGCTGGAGTCTTCACTTTAGGGATTAGACTCTTCTTGCCTCTTAATAATATGGAAGCTAAAATTCAATTAAATTAAAAATATGGCTCCTGAAATACCAACACAACTTTGGGATTTAGAAAAAAAATTATGCTTATTTTATCCAAAAATTAATTTAATGTTTCAAATATTCAAATATTTTAAGTTAGCATGATATTCCCCATGTCTAGGGCATAGTGTTTGAATTATTTTGCTGAATCATTTTGTTGAATTATTTGCTAATATTATTCTTGGAAAAATGGAGACTTTTTTCTTGCTTCTCATTTGAAATCTATTTTTAAAGTTTGGAGGGTATTAATATTACATAAGTATTTATTTTAAGGAAATTCAAAAATAACATAAGCAGAATGTTAGTAAAATTAGAGCAAGAAATCTGGATTTTCATCAGATTTTCTTTCTTTCTTCAACTGTTCTGTAGTAACAGGCTGTCATTTTCCACTACACAGGAATTGGAGAAGAAATTCCAACAAACAGCCGCTTATCGGAACATGAAAGAGATTCTTACCAAGAAGAATGACCAGATCAAGGAGCTGAGGAAAAAACTGGCAAAGTAAGTCCTGCTGATTCCACTTGCAGGTTTATCTCTTTGCTGGGTTGATGTCTCTCCTCCATTAAATCTAAGCTCACGTGCAGAGTTCAGGTCAATAGGTAGTTACCCTGTCATTTAATCCAAATGCCTGACCTGGCCACTTATGCCCACCAAGGCTTCTTTTTTGGTTCAGCTAGACCGTCAGACTCACACACAACTAAAATAGGCTATTTTTGGTAGCAGATTCACTTAGCCAAATATAGAACGGCAAACGTCACATAACGTAGTAGGGCCACCTTGGTGGTTCTCTCCCATGGGAGTCCTCAGAGCAGTCCAAGAGCTGGTCTTACTGTGCCCCAAGTGACAATTCTGGTGTGACAGAATGAGATCCATGCCATAGCCAGCTAGGCTTAGAAGTCCATGCTCCATAAAGGACTGATATCTCTTATAGTGGCCACATGCCCAGTGAGGGACAAGTCCAGTCACAGGAACTCCCTGCACAGAGGGAAAGCCCAAAGCTGTGGCTTCCTTTTAGGTGTTTACAGTTTATTCACAGCCTTTCCAGTCCAGATGCATTCCACCAGTCAGGGTCATTTTTACCATCAGCAGTGTTGCCTGATAACTCAGCTGACCTTTTACATTTATCAGGGTCCCTGGGAAGGAACTAGAAAGGGAATCCAAAGTCAGATTTTGCCTTAGAGAAGGAGGTTTGTTAGCTTTTTATTTGCATAACCATATCAGCTAGTTGTGTTGATCTGACAATGTAGATTATAATTGAATTTCTACTCAGCTACCATGGACCTAATTAATGCCTAATATGGAGACGAGGAGTCTAAATATATCTAAGCATTTTTCTGGTCCATCCTCCCACCTGTTGCAGGAATCCCCTTTGAGTCACCATCATCATGCCTTCAATGTATTTGACTTCTACCCACAGCAATGATTTTAACTGAAAAATACAACCTACCAATTAGTCACTGGAGATGTTTGAAGTAACTCATTTGGCAACAATAACAGAAACAAATTTTCATGACATTATGCTCTTAACTTGTATCTCTTTCTAGATATGAACCTGAAGATTAAAAACTGATGAAGATTTCATCTGGAAGCTGCCACAACTTGACCATATAAGTTCTTCTTCACCTCAGGCATATACTTTGAAGCATTTTGTTATACTTCCTCCCTTTATTTTTCTAATACTTAGACTTTGCTGTTACTTCATCCCCACCAAAGAGTCCCTGTTTTCAGTTGTCTAATTGAGAAGAGAAAAAAAACCTGATTCTGGCTGACCTTCCCAACACCTCTCTGCTGAGGGTACCAGAGTCTTTATTGAGACACGGTGACAGTTCTTTATGGTAAAGAAGAGATTTTTGTTATGAGAAGAATTTTGTAACCTCTTGTATTATTAGAAAGGGTATACCTTTAGAATAAATGTTAAAGAAGCCAACAGTATCTATTCTTGTGCATTCCCCAGGGCAAAAGTAAGTCTAGTCCTAAAGATAATTATTACAAATAAACTGTATTTTTATTTTTAAAAATGAAATCTGATTCATTTTTTTATCTGATATTTGATC